AGGGGGCGGGATGGGCGACTGCGAGAGAGGGGAGCGCGGGAACCTTCGTTCCCATGCCTAGAGCTCGTGGGGTCACATAAGGGATCACAGCGGCTTAGGGCAGAGGCACGAGCGAGAGGCGGACGGGAGGGGAAATGAAATTAGGGATTAGGTTTATAAGTTTTATTTATAATAAATAATAATAAAATATTATTTATTATTATAAATAATACTTAAACACATCTCCTTCTCCAGAAATGCCCTCGCGACGAAGCAAACGTCTCTCCTAAGCAAAATCAACGTTCCGGACGCGTCGGCGCAGTCCGTTTCGTCATCCGGAGTCGTCCGGGCAACCTCGTCGACGATTGGGACAAAAACGCGTCGCGGTCCGAATCCTATTAAAATTTCGGCTCTTATTCAATTAAACAGGACGGCGAAGAGCGCAGCGGCGCCAAATCAACGAGTAGAGTCAATCCTAAGGTCGGTTGTCCTATAGGAATACTCTCTGAGTTCCTTCGAAGTAGCCTTACCTTCTAAGCAATAGCGGTCAAGACTACTACATGGAACATCAAGTCGAGCGAAGAAAAGTCTAGAATTGCTAACGGAGAGGGCTCCTTCACTAGTTTTCTAGGAATAGTCGACAGAAAGGTCCTACGATTAGATCCTAGGCTACTAAGGAGGGGAAAACTACACCTCGACCGAAAGCGAGGTCAACAAATAGGTAGAAAAGATTTCTGATACTTTATATCTTAAAAAATTCAGGTATCAAATACTGTCAAGTTCACCGTGATTTTTTTGGTCAAGGCATAAGACAAATAATCTAGCTACTAAAGTGATAACATAAAAATAACACGACTAGAAGCCACCATAAATCCCCACAATAAACCTTGACTTGTAATTAAAATATCTAATTGGCTACTTGAGTATCTATCTTGATCTTATAAATAGGAATTTCAAGAAACACCCTTTCACAAATAATTTCCAAAATTGCAATATTTAATGCGTAGATGTCGCATTGAAACAATTTCAAAAATGCCATGCTGAAATGTATCAATAAAAAAAAAACTTAAGAGCCAGTTTTGGAAACAGAAAATAAAATAAATCCAAACATGGAATCATTAAATGCCATGAACCATCAGTTCATTTTCTCACAATGTGACAGCATGTTTAAAAAATAAAATATATTAGTAAGCTTTAAGATTTGCAACTGCTCGGAGAAATAATTAATAAAGGGACAAGTAAAACAAATAAATTAAGGAATTCACATTCAGAGAAAGTAGAACAGCAAAGAGTTTGGTCAGATTCAATCAGAAAACAAACTAAAAACGTCAGAAGTTCTTCTAAGACGCCTTCTTGAGTTACAATAAAGGTTTCCAACAGCCAAAATATGCTCAAAGATATGTCAAAAGGAGTGCAACTTCATAATCAACGTGCAAAATTTGTTTTTCATCGGTCACTTTTCCCAATAGAAAAAATCAGTGGAAACAAAACTGGTTGCAAGGAATGGCAGTGGTATTTCTATTAAAAGATGAGTCAACAAATGAGAAGTTCTCTTGCTGAAAACTTGCAAGGTAAAGACAAAGCAAGCTAGTTCAAGCTGATCTAATAAAACTTAAAATGGAAAAATAGAGAATTCCATAAATCTTCATTTAAGCTTTGGTATTTTGTGAGATGGTTTACACAATGTCTATTATTTTGTTTAAAATTATCTTCTGTGAATCACTGCCTGTTAACATTGCAAGCTTTAACAGAACATTTCAATATTTCCCTTTCCAAGGAGGAGATATCATAGTTCTATTGAATCTTTACTTACAATGATTGAAGAGTTGGATGTCGAAAAGTTTCCATTTGATGGATCTGTCAAAGTCTTGTTTGAGATGCCATTATTAGTAGCATTCATTTGGTTCCCCTTTTGCAAATGTGATGAAGAGTCGGTTGAATTTTCATGTGTGATTCGGGAGCCATCCTTGTATATTTCACTACCCCCCCTTGCCTCTGCTAGCTCCAAATGAAGTTGTTGTATTGTTCGAATGTGGTGACGCTCCATTTCCACAAACTAACATCAAGATTAGAAAAAATAATTACACATGCAAAATAAATAAAATAAAAAAGAAATGACATGCCTATATTTCAACCGGTAAGCAACAGCATCCTACAGAAAAGCTCAGCAGTCGGTAACAAATATCAATTAAAGTCTTCTCTGCACTTACAAAAAAGTTAAAAACCACAACTTAGGTGAACTTAAAACAACCTGTCGTTGCAAAGCAAGCCAATATTGATTGAACTGCTCAGTCCGCTCCCGCAGTTCAGCCTGTAAAGACTGATTTGTGGCTGACTGCAAAGCATCGACCTGAGCACGTGCAACCCATGCTTGTGCTTCCCTTAACTGCTCATCCTTGTAAAGGAGTGTTTCCTGAGCAACCCTATGCTGCAGGAGAAGTGGTTGTCAATCAAAATAAACTTAATGTATCACATATAACTAGCTACAGTTAAATTAATAAGACAAAATACAAACTAGAAGATAAAATAAACCATGGCGACAAAAAAAACTAGTTGAATGAAAAATAAATAAATAAATACAGCATAATCAATAAGCCATCAATAAAAGAATAAAACTAAAGTTTAACCATAAAATCTGATCAATAGGCCTTACCTTTATAAACATAATAAGCATCCTTCCTAAATTTAGATCCAATTTGCAATTGATTAAAATCAACAAAAACAATAAAATAAAATAATAATTATAATATTTCACTCAAACTAATATGTTGGTTTGACATAACTAACGATTTGGTTATGCTATTGAGAGACGAATGAAATCCATCTCATTCGAATCGAAGAAGCTGAGAGAGAGAGAGAGGAACCAACGAGGAAAAGAAATGATTGACACTTATGTCTCGTGCGGAAGGAACAACGTCAAAATCATGTGGCTCGGTGACCCGTAAGAAAGGGAAGAAGAAAACTGAGCAATGAGGGAGAAGAAGCCACTTGCAGTTTGTTTGCAGGTGATGAGCAGTCAGGAGAAACCCCGTGTAATGAGTGAGGCAGAATCTCATGCAAATCAAGCACGTATGTGGGTCGTGTGCGTCAGACAACAGTGAACAGGCTACAGTTTTATTATTTATTTCAGAAAAAAAAATTATTTTAATTGAAAATTATTAAATATATACTTCAGCTTTAACCAAGTAATGTGAGAAATAAAATGTTCGAATGTAGAAGAATATTCAAATTGAATGTTGAGAAAACGAAATCATTGGTCATGCAAAAAGAGGGATAAAAGCAATTGATGTGACTCTTTTAAATTGTAGTTCTTCTAGATTGTATAAGCAATCAAACTCAGAGTAATTCATATTTACGAATCTTGATTGGAGAATAATACTATATTTGGTGAAATTGCTTGGAGATAGAAAGACTTAAAGTGATCTTAGAATGTGTCAAGAAAGAAAGCAGAAGACCAATGTACGCAACATATTAAAGAAAATATAAATTAAATAGAGCTTTTGCAAGATTAAGTGTCATTGTTTAGAAATAATATCCTTACTTCTATGATTATGTGAAAATAACATGGTGAAGAAAAGGAGAAGCTCAAGAACCTGAAAGATTTCGCAAAATTATTGAGATATAAAAATTATATTATCAACTTCATTATTGATCATTGTTGACATCATTTTTAGTGAGGTCTTAGTCTCATACTCCCAGAACCGATAATCTAGCCTTAGGAGTTCCTTGTTGACCATCCTAGTGGACTAGTAATGGAGCCCACCTCCCGTAGAACTTCAAGCCACTTCTTGACTCATTTTTGTGAAGAACTCGCATGAGTGGTTCCAAGCACTCAACTTCTAGCAAGGGCTTGCAAGGGCTAATGACCAACATGTAGAGGGCCCGAAAATGAGTTCCTATAGGATCAAACAGCCTTAGGTGAACCCTTTGTGACTCGATTACTCCACTGCACCACACACGACTTTGACTTGATATGACTTGTCAATCGGTGAGTTCGTCCGGACGACCCCGGACGACGAAACAGACCCCGCTGACGCGTCCAGAACGTCAACTTTAGCTAGAAAAGACACTCATATTGTTGTGGTTCCACACTCGCGCGAACTGCACGAAAATCGATGCATTTTTTTATAGCTCAACCAAGGTTCACACCTTAGGTGAGAGTCTTAGTCTCATACTAAAGTATAAGAAAACACCGCGGTGAAAGTCTTAGTCACCGCGGGCCCGAAGGTTCGACTCGGGTTCGATTCAGGCTGGACTCGGGCTGAACACGGGCTAGACACTAGCTCACCTGAATTTGAAATTCAAATTTCAAAATTTAAATAAATTATTTAAATGCTGTCTTAATTAAAATTAATTCAGAGGTTAATTATTTTCATTTAATCCTCCTTGCATTTAGAAATAATTTATTTCCCCGCCAATTGCTCTCGAGTAACGGCTCCCCCGCTCGAATTCTAAAGGGAAGGATCGCCTTCTTCCTCCGAATCTTCCTTCTTTGCCTCTCCGAGCTCCAGCTCATCTACCATCGTTCGATAGACTTCTCCCGCTCGGTCCCCTCTTCTTCTCCCGCTCGTCCATTCTCCTCTGCACCGAAACCGCTCTCTCGAATCGCCATCTCCCTCACTCGCCTCTGCCGCTCACACGCCTCACCTTCTCGCGCGACCCTCTCCCGCACTCGTCTACTTACCTTCTTCACTCTCGCTCGCCTGCTTCCTCTTCTGCACCGAAGCCCTCGAAGCTCCCGCTCGCCTTGCCTCTCTGCAGTGAAGTCGAGCTCGCCTCGCCTCGTCTCTCTGCATCGAAGTTCTGCTCGCCTCGTCTCTCCGCATCGAAGTTCTGCTCGCCTCGTCTCTCTGCATCGAAGTTCTACTCGCCTCCTCCTCGCGCAGAAACCTCGTCTGGCTTGCTTCTCTGTCTCCCGCTCGATCCCGTCTCCCGTATCTTCCCCCAGAGGGATGCTCTCTGTTTGATCCCGTCAAACGCACTGAAGCCGCACGCGTGCTCCACTCGATTCTCGCTTCTCCCGCTCCTCTTGAGCCTCACCCACGCCTCCTCTACGAACAAAAATCCTAGCCTTCCCTTCTGCACCGAAGCTTCCAACTCCCTAACCTCTCGGTCGAACCCGAGACCCGAGATTCAGTCACACTTCTTTTTTTTCTCCTTCCCTCGGTGAGGTCCAACCAAAACCTCTTCCTTTCCCAGCCGACAGCTCTGTAGGAAACTATTTGGACAACCGGAACAGGAAGTAAGTTGTGGACGCTCCACCTGTCCAACCCAATCCTCTGACCCTTCACTTCTCTGTGAGTTCTTGCAATATCCCAAACACCAACTTATACTTTCTGTGGATTTTATTCATGTCCAATTTTGGCTCCATATCTTGATATTTATGTTATTTATGCTGTTGTGTTTCTATTTCTGATAGTTTTTTTTTTTTTTTTATATTCAACTTATGCCGTCTCCCTATCTGTTTAGGAAATGGGTTAATGATTTGATTTGGGAATGAGTTAATGATTTGATTCCTTCTCTTTGTTGATCAAAGTTTAACGGCGAATTGTGTTATGAAATGCTGACTGCTCCCTTTAAGTTTTGATATTTAACGCGATGGATTTTCTTCGAGTTGCCTAATTGTTGTCATGTATATTTTTGAAACTTAGGCAGTTGCAGTTAAATTTGTGACATGCTTGTGGATTGATTGGAACGATATTAAGGGAAGATTTTCTGGTGATGCTAATTGACAACATGTTGTAGTTATTTGTATTTGTAATGTTGTTATGGTCCTGCAAGTATTAAAAATTCATTTTATATGTTTTCGGCAATTTAAAAGTTTAAATGACCTTGTGGTTGCTTTCATGTATAATTAGATAAATTTAGATTCTGGTTTCAATTGTATAATTTTTGGTCAAGCATGTGATGAATATCGTGTTGATTTGGGCTTGCAATAATACTTGTTTTAGAGAAGGCTTTAAACACCTTTTGGGTCAATCAAAACACTGTCTTGGAACATACTTGAGCACTCTTCTCGAGAGTTTTATTTAATTACAATATTGAAAGAATTTAAACGTTTTTTTTAGGCCGATTCACTTGGAACATACTTGAGCTCTGGCTTTGCTAGTTTTGGAAGTGGTTCGACCTCATTTTATTTTATTTATTTTTAAATGGTTAAGTCATAAAGATGGGGATTGATGATTTAATTAATTGAAAGATATAGAAATCCTTAAATCACCTTAAGCATAAGTTAAAGTGTAGGTTTCCTAGAACTTTAAGTGCACACCCTAGGTGAGAGTCTATCAACCTAGTCTTCGGTTTAGACTTCCTACACTTTAGAAGCACACCCTAG